CCGGGGGGGCGTGGGGGGGGAAGTGCCGGGGGGGCGTGGGGGGGGGAAGTGCCGGGGGGGCGGGCGCCCGTCTCTCTGGCGGCGGCTCTGCGGGGCCTGGCTGTCCGCCTCTCGCGCTCGGCCGCCGCGCGCTCCTATGGGGTCTTCTGCGAGGGGCTGACCCGCAGGCTGCTCATCTTTTTCGACCTGGCCTGGCGGCTGCGCATCAACTTCCCCTTCTTCTACACCGTGAGCTTCCACGAAGCTCCACGTCCGCCCGCAGGGTCTTTCTGAGCTCCACTGAAGGCCTTGTGCTGGCTGACGAAGGCGTGTGGTCAGGCTCCCCACACCAGGGAGCACGCAGCACGAGGGGCAGAGTAGGGGCTCTGGGCAGCTAGTCGGGAAGGTGAGGGGGGCAGGAGAGGACTCCGCCGAGCAGCTCTGCGGACCTGAGGGAGCACAGGGGGAGAGCCCTGGCCGTCCTCCCGGACGCTTACGCCTGCGGTCCATGTAGACGGAAATGCACAAAATGAGGAGTTAACCACGGAAGTGAAAAATGCTGAGTGAGGGCAACGTCTCGCTTCACACTGGCAACAAAGTGCTTCCCTGTTGGACAGAATCGTTAAGAAGCAGCCCCGCAGCGGCCCAGAGGACGACTGTGGATCTGTCCTGTGCGCCTGCAGGAGAGCCTCGTGCTGGGCTGCCCTGTGGGCGTGGCCGGCGGGGAGGCCCTGGTGAGGGGCTGGCCGGGAGGAGGGCCCAGGGCCAGCGACAGCCACAGAGGATGGCGTCGCAACTGAGCTCCTTGGGGTCAGGCCGACCATGCCTTCAGAAACTGTCGTAAGTGGGGATTTCTGAGGAGGAACCGCCAGGCGCTCTTCTAGACGGGCGAGGCTCTGAGTCGCAACTGTCTTGCCTGCCTTTCCACCGGTCTACACTGCTGCACGCACGCCCCGAAGTATTCCTAATGATGAGACGGAATGCGGTTTCCTTGGCCATCCAAAGCCTGCGTTTTCAGAGCAAACAGAACACAAGAAAATGCCCTCCCATGTAAAAAGGACCTCAGCCTATCTGCAGATAACACTGGGGTTACTGGCTCCACCAGCTTTGGAAGGAGCAAATCCATTATGCAATAGTTAAGGTACAAGCAGAACAATAAAAATAGATTAATTGTAAAAGCTGTCTTAGAATCCTTTCTTTCACACGGAGTCTGGATGCCTGTTAACGGGGCAGCCCTCAAGTTCAGTTGGTGTGAATCAGTTGGTGTGACCAGACAAAGGAAGTGGAACTGAAACTCCTGGGAAGTAGGTTGATGTGGGAGGAGAGTTTTGAGCATGCTTTAAATTGTGCTTTTCAAAGGCCATTCAGTATTGGGCTACCGCTTCAAGGAGAACATTCGAAATATCCTGTATCAATATCAGGGTAGAATGTGAAGATTTAACAAAATTCTTTATGGATCTTCAGCACTCATTGCCAAGGACTACTGTCCCAGATACCGCCTCCTCAGGCCCGCTACTCATCTGCTGGAAGTGGCCGTTTGTACCAGTCAGCCCCTCCACAGTTGACAGCTGCCCCCATTTCCGCATTCCGTAGAGTAATTTTGGCCTTCAGAACGATTTGATTTCTTTCCTCATCCCCTCTTCTTCCACTTGAAACACAATTTAAATGGAGGCCCGACAGTGAAAGTTACAATATTAAATGTACTTTTAGTATAATCCTTTCTCAAACTGGGAGCGGTACCAGTGTGGCCTGAAATAAAAGTAACCTTGAAACATCTCCGCTGCAGCTCAACTAGGGAGTAATGGACCTAGCGTTTCCTTACAGGAAAGTTCCCGTTCCTAGGAGCGGAGGTATGTCTTACACGAACATGTTTTTTCTGGTAACACCTCTGGTTGATAAAGATCACTTCAGAGCCTGGAGTTGTTAAGGAGTTCCAAAGTGAGAGAGACTTCACAGTTTTGGGGGCTATCAACCGCCTATATCCATTTGTGTGCTAAATTACTATGCCTTATGCTGTTTCAGTGTTTTGGCAATGTGAATAATTAAAACTTGTTACTTAGTATATATGACAAATGTCTTATTTTAAGTGTGTAAAAAAAAACTATTAAAATAGCTTAATTTATATACTCTGTTATAAATTATATTAGTAAAGATATCAAACTGAAACATGAAACAAAATAAAGAACCATGTTCAAGGCCACATAGCTAGGTACATTCTAGGGTTCTGAAAATTTATATAATATACAATTATTCTTATTAAACCTATACTTTATACTATCTATTAATAAATTGTTGATTATTCTGATTTGAATTAGGGATGTCTAAAATCATGCCTTCAAATTTGTCATGTTTGTGGCATTTTTGGCTTTCTTGAATATTATTCAACATGCATTTTGCTAATTAAGAATCTTCCTATCTTGCTAATTACAAATTAGAATTTAAATACTAAAATTATACTAAAAAGAAAAACAGTCCTTTGAAATACTCGAGCCTTAGTGAATATGAAGACATTTACAGACAAGGAAGAGTGAATGAAGCTGCAAGTAAGCTTGGCTGTTGCCCTAAGATACATGTTTAGCCAGCTGAGGGAATTGGAATTTGCTAGAATTTGACCAGGCTGACTGCACTGGACTCACTTATACTTCCTCATCCTTCAGTCGTTTTCTTCTCTCCACATCTAGGAGAACATTCATTCCAAAATATTTTCTTCTCCATATTCTATGGGTCCTCTGTTTTGCTATCTACTCTGCTGTCCCTCTTCTACCTGATACCTAAATGTTGCGATGCTTCATGGCTCGGTCTTTAGCTCTCTTCTCTTTGTATTCTGTATTCTTTTCCAATTTCATATCCTCATTTCTGCAGTGACAATTCCAGATATGTATCTCCTGGCTAGACCCACATGTTTTGATTGTCCAATTTTGATTGCCCATGGGCAACTCAACCAGAATGTGCTCAAGCCAACAGTTGGGATGTTCCTCCCCAAAGGATCTCCCTTTGTTCGCCACCTTACTAAAATGCACTACCATTTATCTGTTTATGAAAAAAATTAAAAACAAGCAAGTGAGTTCCTTGGTTATTACTCTTTCCTACACCCACTGTATTTTCCACCAAAAGAACATATTTTGAATGTGTTCTGCTTTGCATCTCATCAGCCATCATCCTATTGCATACCATATTCATGCTGCATAAACTCTGGAATCTTCTCTTCCCCACCACAATCACATAATATGGGGGAAAGAAACTTTTTAAAAATCTAAGTAAAATTGGGGTCGCCTGGGTGGCTTAGTCGGTTAAGCGTCCGACTTTCGCTTGGGTCATGATCTCGCGGTTCGTGGGTTCGAGCCCCGCGTCAGGCTCTGTGCTGACTGCCAGCTCAGAGACTGGAGCCTGTTTCAGTCTGTGACTCCCTCTTCTCTCTGACCCTCCCCAGCTCACGCTGTCTCTCTCTCTCCTAGAAATAAATAAAAAACATAAAAAAAAAAAAATCGAATTAAAATTGTATTACTTCATTCCTTAAGACTCTTTTATGGCTTTTTATCAATCATAAAGGTAATCTAAATGTGCTGATAGGTCTGGAAAGTAACC